TATCTTCTTTGGAGAAATGTCCATAAAAATATTTTGCCTATTTTTTTAATTTGGATGTCTTTTTATTATTAAATTGTAAATGTTATCTATATATTCTGGATATACAACCCTAATCAGATATATCATTTGCAAATATTTTCTCTCATTTTGTGGGTTTTCTTTTCATTATGTATGGTCTTCTTTGAAGCACAAAGGTTTTTAGTTTTGATGAAATCCAACATATCAATCTCTTATATCATCTTTGGTTTCATATCTAAGAATCATTGCCTAATCTAAGGTGACAAACTTTACTCCTTTTGTATTTTAATCAGAGTTTTATAATCTAGGTCTTATGTTTCAGCCTCTGTTTTACTTTACATAACTTTTGTCTATGGTGTAAAATATGAGTACAGATTCATTCTTCTGCATGTGAGTATCTTGTCCCAGCACCATTTGTTGAAAGACTGCTTTCTCCCACTGAATTACATTGACCCTTTGTCAAAATTGTCTGACTATAAATGTTAGTATTTATTTTGGACTCTCAATTCTATTAAATTGATCTATATGTCCATCCTATGTCATCTTGTTGTTCCGTGACTTCACAAAGACCAGTCCATCTTTAGGGCATTTACAATTGCTATTCCCTTTGCTTGGGATAGTTTTTCATTTTTCTTATTGTTCCTTGCTTGATCCTTGACATCATTCACATTTCTGCTCAAATGTGACATGCTTGGAGAGGCCTTTTTTACCTTCTCTATCTAAAATAACTCTTTCCTCAGGCAAGAATAAACTTGAAATAAATAAGTAGAATAGCTTCTCGATCCCTCTCAATCATTCTCTACTCCCTCTCTTCCTGTTTTCCACAGCTCATCCCACTATCTGAAATTACTTGTTTGTTGTTTATGTTTCTATCTTCCTCATTAGAATGTAAGTTCTATGAGGTCAAAGATGTTTTTATTTGCCTGGTACGTAGTAGGGAATCAATAATTGTTTGTGGAATAGAGTCATAAATCATGATTTCCGAAACAGTTATTTTCAAAGCTATAATAATTTCTCAGAGTGGTTTATTCCAAAGTCATTGATAATTGAGGCACTCTGCATAACTGGCAATCCTTCTAAAACTCATCATGTGTTTTAACAAGGAGTCATTATATCCTCTTTATTAAGGCAGGCAGGGAGAATTTTAGCCTTTATTCTTTCTTATTTATTTATTTACTTATTTATTTAACTGAAAGGGCTCACCCAGGCTGGAATGCAGTGGCGCAATCATAGCTCACTGCAGCTTCAAACCCCTGGTCTCAAGTGATCCTCCCACCTCAGCCTCCTGAGTATCTAGGACTATAGGTGTGCACCACCATGCCAAGCTAATTTTTGTAACTATCCATTTTATCACAAAAGCCTTTCCAAAATAAGACCCAGTATTGTAATTAGAGTAAGATTAACACAGACTGGAAGTATCAAGTAAGTAAAATTATGGAGGCAGACTCTGAAAGCCCACTGATTGTACTATTACTGCATATGTTTTCAGTCAAAAAATTCGTATTTCAAGAAGTCTCTTAAAAGAAAACTGAGGCGGGTACCATGACTCATGACTATTATCCCAGCACTTTGGAAGGCCGAGATGGGAGGATCGCTTGAGCCCAGGAGTTCAAGACCAGCCTGAGCAATAGCATGAGACCTCATCTCTGCAAAGAAAATTTAAAAATTAACCAAGCATGGTGACACATGCCAGTAGTCCCAGCTACTCCAAAGACTAAGATGGGAGGATCACTTGAACATGGGAGGCAGAGGCTGCAGTGAGCCAAGATCACACCACTGCACTCCAACCTGAGCAACAGCAAGACCCAATCTCAAAAAAATAAGAAATAAATAAAAAGAAAATTAAAATACTGGTTCTTATTAAATAGGCTATTTATTAGCTTCCTAGACCTGATCTTTTACTAGAACACCACATTTCCTTTTTGCTGATCCTCTTTAGTTTCAGACTGCTTTTTGGATCTAAGATATTTCGTCCTCTTCCATTTTATGGCTTCTTTGGGCCTTAGCAGGCAGGCAGAACTCCTTATATGTGAGAGGAATACTCTCTCTGACATACTTTATGAGACCCAGTAGTCACAACACAACCTATTAGCCATACCTTAGCATGCCCAAGAGCAGTCTAGCTTCAGATCAGAATTTATGCTTGTTTTTCACATTTATAAAACTACACTGTCATCTTTATTATTTCTATTATTAAAAAAATATATTGAGGCAGTTCTTCATACACTTGGCACATGTAAAATTTGTTTCTCTTAGATATTTAATGCCTTTTTGATGTGCAATAATATAAAATAGATATAGTCACTACCTTGAAAGAGAACAATTAGAAACTACTCTTAGCAATTTACTTTGTAAGTTAAACCTGTTATATTTGTTTCCTTTGAGTTTTATAGTGGCCTGGAGAAAGCCAGAAGTGCATATACCTTCCACATATTATGTTGTGCAATATGAAATGTTCACCTTAGAAAGACATAACCCCAATTTTAAATAATGTAATTGGAATGCATAGTAACGTGGAAAACACAAAAGAAAAATGTTTTAATCACATTGGTTGCTTTCTTCTCATTTTCTAATTAATAATAATAAAAAGATCGACTAGCATATTGAATAAAGCTAAAATATTTCTTCCAGCTACATCAGGCTATTATAAGTTTATATTCATAAACTGTGAGCCATATAAAAATACAAATTATTATGAACTGTAAATTCTACTACTTATGATAACTAGTTTTAACAAATCTAGCTCAATTGAAGGAAAAGTTTTAATTACAAATCTTTAAAATAAAACATGGGATGATACTTATAGTATTTGCATTTACTTGTAATTTAGAAACTACTCATTAATGACTCTGCATAAAAATCATATTAGTGCATAGTTTTTCATCCTTGTGTTACAAATGAACTATCTAATAAACATATTTATTATTATTAAATATGACAGTGAATTAAATATAGGATTATTAAACAGACAAACCCAATTGATCCAGGCTCCAATGATAATGTATGCTAATTAAGTCAGAGATAGGACTCACTTTGCCTTGAACTAAGAGATAGGGATTGAAGACACCTTCACAATAATAAAAATATAAAGAGTGTTTGGGCATTTACATTTGCCATAAGCAAATTAATAGGCTAAACAAGAATGCTGGGGGGAAAAATGGGCTACTTAAGAAAGCAAATGTTTGCAATCACAGTCCAGTAGAATCCAGTATGTGGTTATATAAATACAAAATATATGCTAAAGAACGCCATCTTATTTTTTTTCTTAACTCTATTAATATTTTGTGTGCTAACCTTTGGTAACACTTGGTTCACCTAATTTTAATACTTACTCTGTACTTAAAAGTTGTAAAAGAGCTGGGCTCAGAGGCTCACAGTTGTGATCCCAGTGCTTTGGTAGGCCAAGGTGGGAGAATCACTTGAGGACAGTAGTTTGAAACCAACCTGAGCAACACAGCAAGTCTCTATCTCTACAAAAAGTAAGAAACTAAAATTATCCAGGCATGGTGGCATAGACGTGTAAGTCTCAGCTACTTGGAAGGCTGAGGCAGGAGGATCCTTTGAGCCCAGGAGTTCAAGGCTGCAGTGAGCTGATTGCAACACCGCACTACAGCCTGGGTGACAGAGTACAACCTTGTCTCTAAAATAAGTAAATAAATAATAAAGTTATAAAGTGATTTTTCTTTTTTTAATTGCATTTTAGGTTTTTGGGTACATGTGAAGAACATGCAAGATAGTTGCACAGGTACACACGTGGCAAAGGATATGAACAGACACTTTACAAAAGAAGACATACATGAGGCCAACAAACATATGAAATAATGCTCATCATCATTGGTCATTAAAGTGATTTTTCTTCATGTAACTAATGTATACTGCCTCTTGGTCCAAAGTCTTTTATTTATCTGGGATCACCCTGTCCCACCTTACCTAGAGAGCTAACATTTTCCCCATAGCCCACACACACACATCTCCTGCTCAGGTTCTCCAGAAATTCTTAGGTTTGTTAGAGTTTCTCTAGGTCATCCCTGGTACTGATGTCATTTCTGCTGAGTTCTTGATCTACACTCTTTTTATTAACTTCTGTAATTGCTGTCATTTTTACTACAGGCTTATCCCATAGCGGACCCTCCTCCTAATGCCATCATTTCCCCATATCACTATAAAACAAAAGGTTTTCATGTTTAATGGACTTTTTTTTTTTTTTGATGATTTGGGGTATTGGGGAGGTAACATAACACAGAACGTTAGAATGTTTGCCTTCACAGTCCTAAATGTTTAATGGCCATTCTCTTTCCCCAGCAATGTCTCCACATTGTTGACCTCTTTCACTAGGCCCTACCACACTGTTCTCTTCCTTCTAAAGTGCCTAACTTCTACTCCAGGAGCTGCTACTAGACTAGAAACTCTTCACTGAGCATTTCATTCTTCTTTTTCTCACATTTACATAAGCTGTGGCTACTTTCTCAAACTAAAAGATCTAATATGTTTAAACAAAGAATTATCTAACAAGCAGATGAATTATTCTACTCTACTACAAAGCAGGCACAATTCATTTAAATAGCCATGTATTCTCTCAGTCTACATTTTAAAATTTTGTTTCACTTACTCAGCAGTCCTTTCTAATCAATCTGAATGTATTTATGGTCGATAGCTAAAATAATGCACAGTATTTTAAGTGTTTATAAAACTTTTAATTTTTAAAAATGGCTAATCAAAATTTAGTCCTGCACATGGTAACAAATGAGTACTTGCTAATATTGTCTTGCCCAGGTAATTTCAAGCCAGTTTCCATCATAACTGATGTGTATATCGAAACATTAAACATTTTGTCAAAGTTGATACTCTTTTTTGTATCAAGTCAACATAGACTAACCCTAAGAACTCAAGTGAATTGTGAATCTTTTCTACTGAAATACAATTATTTGAAAATATTTAGCTTTGACAGCTATTTACTTACTTTTTATATCTTGTTTACATAGTTTTGTGTGAGAATAGAAAAGAATCCTGGCCTTGGATTTAGTATCAGTGGTGGAATCAGTGGACAAGGAAATCCATTCAAACCTTCTGACAAGGTAAGAAAAGAATATCTTGTTGACAATTTTAATTAGAAAAATACTGTCTCCTACAGTAACAAAGGTTAGAAAAAAATTCAAGTGTTTTGCTGTGCTTTCATGAGCTAGCTAACTCTGAAGCCAATTAGAAACTTTTTCAGCGCAGGGATAAAAGTATTTACTAGTGCGCTTGACAAATACTAAGAATAAGACACAAATAGTGTCTAAACATTCTATTTAAAAGACAATTTTTTTTTGTATTTTTGTGGAGACGCTTTGTGTTTTGTTTTTGTTTCTGGCTTCACAGTTGTATATATATTTAAAGAAAGGTATACAGGCAGTTTCTAACAGGTTGTTTTTAAAAGTTAACTTGTAAGTCACTTATTTATTATTTAGGAAATTGTTTTCTCACAGTAGCAGAATGATTATATAGTAATTCAATGCAAAGGCAAGCTGACTGCCATCACTTAGATTCATCAAGCATGTAAGGAATTTTGCAAATAGAATTGTAGAATTGAGAAACCACAGAAGACAAATTTCCTATGAGAAAATCAGGTAGCATTAGCAGAAGAATTAGGTCTTCCTCTCATTCTTACTCCTGCTTGTCAAACTATGGAATTAAAGCACCCCAACTCTAACCTCAGCCATTTCCTGGACATTCAAGATGTTGCCTGTGCTCACATGTCACCTGCCTGACTCCGACATGGACCATCTGATTTTTTATTTTTTAAATGTTTACCTGGAGCTATAAAACCTGCCCTGCTACCATTAGTGTTTAATAGTCTCAGCTTTGAATCAATTAGTAATTATTCAATGATAATTGAAGCTATCTACTTTTGAGCTCATCAAATTGCATTAAGTGACTGCATAAAACTTTAGAATGATAAAGAAAGACAAAAATTATTCAACCTGAGGAAGCTAAAAAAAGAAAAAACAAAAAAAAAGGAAAGACAAAAATTAAATATGAATAAATCCTTCACAGGCTCTGTACTTACCTTTGAGTCACAACCTGGTCCACACCCTGTCAACTCATCACAATTATAAAAACCTATAGATTAATTTCTGATTATAAGACCTATTTCTGTAAAACCTGAGATGCTGTTACTCTGGACCTTTCTGTAGCCCAAAACAAAGGCTTTAATACCATATTCTCCTCCCCTTCTTCCCAGTAATCTTGTTTCTTATACTCTTCCTACCCTTCTTCTTTTCCTTTATGAAGGTCAGGAAAAAGGGTTGTTTGCAATATTCCTATCATTTACATTAGGAAGGAAGAGACCAGACGAAAATCTCCAGTGACCATGGATGGAAGCTCCTTTGGTCAACCGGCTGGAACAGCTACTCATATAAAAGGAGTGTGTATGAGGCAGTCTTATAATTAGGGGAATGCCAATTAGAAACATCTGTTTATAAGTAACGAGTATATTTACATTTTGAAATGATATTGAGGATACCATTGATTTATTATAATTAAAATTTTCATGGCTTTGCCAGACCATTTACTTAATTTTAATAAATTATTAATACATCTTAAAACAAAAAGCATAAAAGTTCAAAATTATCAGACATATGATGGCATTTTTGAAAACCTCAAATCATGTCTTATCTTGACTCCTCTTTTTCTCTCTCATTTTATATCTTTCATAAATTATTTCAATGAAAAGTTAATAACCTTATGATTCTTAGGATAGTTGAAATTCAAGCCACTTTTTCTGTTATTTCTCACCAGCATATAAATCTTTTCAATATATATTTGGAAGGTAATGGGTAAAAAAATTTTTAATTAAGGATGAATAGGTTGTTAGTCAAGATTCACAATACTGTTGCATTTCTGCTGTTTTCAACTGAAAGAGACTATATCTGAGGCTTTCAAATCATTGCCTGCAATTCTTCCATTATGATGAATAAGAACACTTTATAGCTATTCGTTTAATTTCTCACATGTAACATTTTGATGACTCTAGCAAGACTGAACTATGTCTGTGATCCTGTAATTTGCTCTTTTGGATAAATGTAACAGATACAGCACTTGAATTGTATAATGTGTCCATTGAAAGATTTCCCCTCAAAAGTACTTTTCTTTGTCTGATTACACTCTAAAATCATTCATAAGCTGAAAAGTCAATCTCTATTATTATGAAATTGGTGGGAGCAACTAGGAGTTCCAAATCTACAGAAGAATCTCAATACTTCCTTTCATTTATTGACCAGTTTTGGTGGCATGCCAAACATATGTGGACACTGGTTAACTGTTCAGAGGATCTAAAGACATTGACTCTTACAATTTACACAAGAATTTAGTCCACTCACAAGAAAGGGATTGATCTATTGAAAATTCAATTTTTTTTTAGCCCTAGTGCCCTATTCCTAAAGTGTTGTGTAAAACACTTGCTGAACCCAGTGCCTGAAACTACCCAAAAATATTAAACAGTAAGAAAATGAAAATGTAGAAAAACAGATTGGTTTTTCATGAAATGGCTGATTTACAGATGGAAGTAAGAGGAACCAAGTTAAACAGATGATTAAATTCAACAAATACTGCCTGAGGTAGACTTATAAGAAATCTAGTAATGCAAAAGTTTAAACTTTAATATGATACATACTTTCTTCAAATAAATAAGTCATTGATTAGGAATATTCTCAGAAATACACTATATTATTTTACTTTCTGTTCATGGATGTTTGAATGTTTTGCTGCTCAAAATTCTAAGTATCCAAGAACATCTCTGAATGTCTTAGAGGTACTGAGAAATTTCTGTACCGAAGTAATTAATACATTTATTTCATTCTCTTCATTATTGTCGATGGAAATTAGTTTCAGGGAAATGTCGAGGATCAATGTGAGACAGCATCCAAAATGATTACAGTCAGATAGGGAAAGACAAAACGCTTAGAGTTGCAACTGAGGCAAAAGTGAACTATATTATTTGGTCTGGCAGCTGTTCTGATCTAAGTTCTGGGTAGTGTGAGATTGTTGCAGAAAAACACTTAGGGCAGCCCCAAAGTTAACATGGAGGAATCAGGATTAAGCCAAATACGAGGGAATATTTTAACCAGACTTTGAGCATTTAGAACACTCATCTAGCAAACTTAACTCCCCTTCAAGATCCAAGGTGGTCTTGATCAAATATTGTCTCCTCCAGTTAAAAGGATTGAGCACAATTAGCCTTGCAGTTGATATTGTCAGAACGTTTAGTAGTTAAAAAAAATAATAGAACTCATTATTTCCGTGTTTACTGTAAGGCAGAAACTGCTTTTCCACACTTGGAAAGAGAAAGCAGTAGAACACTGGATGGAAAGAGCACTGTGTAATAGTTGCCTCTGTCCTCTCAATGAAGTGTATGAAAGCCATGATTTAGTTTATTACAATAAAGAAACATTGCTGTCAAGTTGTCAAGATCCTGCAGAGAGATGAAAGATTTCAAGCCAACAATCTGATAATAAACCAATAAAAATAATAGCCTTTTATTGAGTATATACAACATGATGGGCACTGTATTAGGTTCTTTATATATATGAATTTATGTGATCTTCATAACAATTTCTGTTAGTTGAGTAGTATTATTATTTCCCATTTTACTAAGGTCCAGAGGGGTTAATTAACTTGCCCAAGATCATTTAGCTGATCTGTGGCAGACAAGATTTGAAACCAAATTGAGCTGACTCCAAATGCTTTTCATAATAAGTATTATAATACATGCCTCCATCTGCAAATGTCACTTAGCAGAAGAGACACATGACAAATTTATACCCTGTAGAGTTGAGACTAATATGATATTCTAAGACTGAGAGTATTATAGAGCCCTCTAATTAGTCGTAGTCTAGATATTTGCTTCAACAAGTCCTTAGGAGTCAGCATGTATTCTCTATTGAATCTAAATAATTAGGAGCATACTGTACAGAGAAGACTGCTAAGCAATTATATATATGTGGACTAAGGTGTCATTACAGTGGCGATCCTGCCAATGGAACAAGCCACAATATTCTTTGCTTGTATGTAAGCACCCATAAAATAATAATTTCTGATTACAAAATTTAATGAATTTAGCAGTATAATTTCCACAGGATGTTGTTAGAAAAAGGAAACTACATTAATAGATGACTGATAGCATGCTGTTGTAATATTTTATAAGGCAACCCAGGACTCTGCAAATATGATAATTTTTAATTATGCATTCACAAAACCATCATTCAGGGATTCATATTCTTCCTTGCTCCATCTGAGGGAAGAAAGACTAAGCTCCTGGATCTTAGACATTAAAGAAGACTCATAGCCCCTTTCTCTATATGGTGTAAAGGTGTTGCGCTGAACAGTCCCATAAACAACTGTCTAGTCATAGTATCAAAATGAAAGCTGTTTTATGGATTCAGCTCATCCTCACAGGGCCTGACAGCAGCAAACATACATACTGGGGCACTGGGGCCAGATAATCAGTTATTCTCCGCATCCACCGTTGTGTGGAAAACAGTCATAAGTGCCTAAGCTCAGTAGATGCCAGAGAGCTCACCCATATTTCCACCAAGTAGGACCATCTAAATGTAGCCACAGAAACGACAGAAAAAGACAAATTCATGGTTTTTTTTTAAATGTCTTAATTTGCCTGTGGTACAGGTAAAATTCCAAGCCATGGAAAGAATATTAGGAGCATTGAAAATGTAAACTATAATCACCAATAAATTCTAAATAAATGTCCTAGAATTTCGGAATAAATGACTCTAAATTATTTATGTTACATTTAAATTTTGCCTCCAGATACCCAAACATCCTGCAACAAGACTTAAGCCCTCTTCTTCTTTTCACTCCATCTTTTTGGTGTGGATATGGATATCATATCAAATAAAAGTTTTTAGATGATTAGGAAAAAAAGGACTCTTAGACATGTAGAATGAAAGCTTTTATTTAATACTTTTACCCAAGGATAACGATACTCAGATGCATGCGTGGCAACAACACGTTCAAAAATCCACAAGAAAACTGTTCCAGTTTTTCTCGACCTCATGACATTGGGTGATTCATAAACAAA